TTTTTTTTTTTTTTTCTTTTGGGCCGGGGATTCATGATCCCATCATCAAAATTACTATAGTCTTCCAAAATTGCACGACTTATATCAGAGGCTGCGTAGTGTTGCCATGAATCTTGTGGGGCATCTCTATACATGGTCGTGGTAACCACCAACACATTGGACATGCTATTAATTTTCATCAAAATCGATGCACATGGCTGACATAGCTGCAAAAGCTGTCAACAGGGCTGAGAATGATTAATTAATCAATCATTTTTGAACGTGATTATCCTCCTTCCAAGATGATAACTTTTTTTTTTTTTTTTTGTTTTTTTTTGGGCCGGGGATTCATGATCCCATCATCAAAATTTTAATATCGATCTCAACATTCTATAATTAATCTTATTTTTTAAAATTAAAATTTACATCTCAAAAAATTGTAATTTACTTAAAAAATTGTAAATTTCGGTGTTGATATCGCCTTGTGTTATGAATTCATGGATAGAACTTGTCCCTAAAAACTAAAGGAAGGGTGCTAAAGAATGTATATACACATATTTAGTTTTATTTTTAACTGATGTGGGATTGTAACATTTCACCATGCTTCTGTATTTGACGTTCACGGTACTCATACATAATACCAAATCATCTTAATTCAAACTATAGATCGCCCCTACCATGACTCAACAACAGAGAGCCGCAATTCAATTGCGTCTGATTCTATACTTGACATGGTGACTAACTCTGATACTAATTGTTATAAACTCATGCATAAAACTTGCCCCTGAAAATCGGCTTGCATGAGAAGAATGTCTAAGAGTTCATATACACATATCCAATCTTATTTTTAAACCGATGTAAAATTGTAACACCCCTATTTTTCAGATTCCCACTTCTCATTGGATTTGTATGCATTGAAACTATTGTGCTATTTTCTCGGTGACTTTTTGAATGGTATTTTTGGGTAATTAACTTTTATCCTTGTAATTTTAGCTAGAAAAATCTTACCTACTTGACTTTTTAAATTATGCACATAACTCCCTTATGATTCTGTACCAAAGTAAAACCCTTACATAATTCTGAACATAAAATCTTAAAGGCTTCTTCCTCCATAATCTTCTTCGTCCTCTTGCCGAAGTGCCACTCGCATGAAGGCATTATCTAAGAAAAACACCATGCTTCAAGTTACCGCGTTACTGTTTAATTGGATCCATTTCTTTAGATTCTGTTGGTAAGTAGTCTAAGTCATAAAAAATGGTAGAAATGTACTTATAATTGACGAAATTATATTAAATGCCTATTACAGAATTTTTTTTTTTGGGTACCTATATTGTCGATTATCATTTTTTAAAGAAAAGTTACAACTTTGAAAAAAGAGGTTATAACAACTCAAGAGAATGTCGTGATTAATCATAGACATCCATGATTGATCATGAAATCTCAGTATCGATTTTAACTTTTCATGATCAATCTTATTTTTTAAAGTTGAAATTTATACCTTAAAAAAGTTATAACTTGACTTAAAAAATTATAAATTTCGATATCGGTACTACCGCGTGTTATGAACCCATAGATAGAACTTGCCCCTAAAAATCGACTTGCAAGGGAAGGGTGCTCAAGTATTCATATACACACATCTAGTCTTATTTTTAATTGATGTGAGATTGTAACATTCTACCATGCTTCCATTGTTGACATCCACGGACGGTGCCCATACATAATACCAAGTCATCTTAATCCAACCTATAGATCGCCTCTTCCATTACTCATCGATAGAGAGCCGTAGCTCAAACTACATTCAATCCCATACTCAACATCGTGGCTAGCTTTGATACCAATTATTATGAACTCATGTAAAGAACTTGTCCCTGAAAACTGGCTTGTAAGAGAGGGATACTCACGAGTTCATATATACACATCTAATCTTATTTTTAACTAATGTGAAATTATAACACCGCAGTACCATATCCTTTCCCTATTTTTAGATTCCCANATATTGAAAATTTAAGGTGTTAGATGATATTTAAGCATGTATTTTGTGCATTTGAAGAGGCAGTAAAAGAGTCCAGAATATTTGAAGAAGTCTGTTCATGCCTTTGGGAGATGTGTTCATGCACTACTACGTGGAAAGCCGAACATACAAAAGTTGATTTCATGCTTAGAGGCGGCTGGCCATGGAGAGACCAGATTCAAGGGTCTTCAGCTTGAAAACAGAGGCATATAAAGGGCAAAGAGTTGCTTCCAAAACAAAGTATGTTTATGCAGAAAAATAGAAAAAAATCAGAGAGAAAAAAAATGTGTTGTTGCAAGAGGAAAATACAGCAACTATCTTAGGAGCTGAAGCTCTGTTTATGAGTTTTGAAAGTTATTTTTGTGTTGTTCTTGCTGAAAATTCAGATTAGCTTCCTCTTTATATTGCTTGATATTGTGATAATTCTTGATGAAATATAGAGGTGTTTCTTGAGTGAAATTGGTGTAGCAAATTTTTTTTTGCCTCTGTTTTACTTGATTTTGTGTACCTTTGGTGATTTATTTTACTTTCAATTCCCAACAAAGTTGGTATCAGAGCCTGGTTATGAAATTTGGATTTTTTTTGTTGAACCAAGGGTTTGCTATTTGTTTGTTATGACTATTATGAGTAATGTGCATCAACACCAATTTCTCAAATTGCGGAACGATAATTATGGGAATTAGAGTATTCAAAGTAAGGTGTTGTTACAATCACAAGATTTTTGAAAAATTGTTGAAAAATGTTACAACGAGCTGACTACGGAGGAAGAGCAAACATTTAATGATGCTCAAAAGATGGTACTTAAGCCATCAAGGAAGACTTATAAGAATGTTTTATTCCTACTTTACCAATGTATTGACGATACCACTTTTGAGAAGATTTCTTCCACCACCACCTCGAAGCAAGCTTGAAATTTTTTTAATGAATATGCATAGAGGCATTGATAAAACAATTCGAGTTCATCTTCAAATATTGCGAAGTGAATTTGAAGGATTGAATATGAATGAAGCCGAGTCAATTTCGGAGTATTTTTCAATTGAATATTATGATATAATATTGAAAAGTTAAGGTGTTAGATGGTATTTAAACTTGTATTTTGTGCATTTGAAGAGGCAGTAGAAGAGTCCAGAATATTTGAAGAAGTCTATTCATGCCTTTGGGAGATGTGTTCATGCACTGCTACGTGGAAAGATGAACAGACAAAAGTTAGTTTCATGCTTGGAGGCGGCTAGCCATGGAGTGAGCAGATTCAAGGGTCTCCGGCTTGAAAACAGAGGCATATAAAG